GGACCTGCAGGCCCCAAAGTGGCCTCCCCAGGGCCCTGGCCGCGCTGTGGCCCTCCAGCCCTGTGCAGCAGCTTCGGGGGCCCTCAGGGGGGCCCCCCGCGCTGCAGCAGCCATGGGGCCCCCTGCTGCAGCAGCAGCAGCAGCAGCAGCGCGAGAGAGGGATCGAGCAGCTGGGGGGAAATGGAGAAAGAACAGAAAAAAACAGGGGAGGTTGCTTGGGAAATGACGAAAGGCGCAGCAGCAGCAGCAGCAGCAGCAGTCGACGCGATGCAGCAAGCGAGTTCTGCTGCCTAAAGCCGCAGCAGCAGCTTTTGGAGTTAATTGCTGCGTATAAGTCTTTTGTCTTCTTAAAACTCAATTTGCTTCTCCCATTTGCTGCAGCAGCAGCAGCAGCAGGGCCTAGCTCAGCCGGGGCCTCCCGCTGAGACTCTCTGGCTGCTGCTGCTGCTGCTGCTGCATGCGGCGAGGCGCGCAGCAGAAAAGTAGAACTTCAGCAGCAAATAAATAAAAATAAGAAATTAATTAATCAAAAATGAACAGAGAGAGAAATTTAAAGGATTAACTTTTGCTGCTGCTTCGGGCTCAGAGCTGCAGCAGCAGCAGAACCTGTCGGCTGCGAGCGGAGGCGCCCAGAGCTGCAGCACTTCGCGCCAGTTTTCTTTGCTTTGTCGACTTGATTTGAAGTATTTATTAAAATTAATTCGTCTAATTAATTTGAAACGTTTATTTAAATGAATTGCTTTCGATTCTTCCGAATTGACTTGCGCAGATCTGGTGAGTCTGGGGTGTCTGTACACCCCAGCTGGAGCTGTACGGCATCGACGCGCCCGGAGAACAAGCTGGAAACTTTCAATTTCAGTTTATTTGTCTTCTTTTTTCGGCCTTTTTGTTCATTTTTCTTCTTCTTTTTGTTTTTAATTTCATTATTTCTCTAAACTGCTCCTTTACAGGTCCAAAGAACCCAAAAACAACTCCATTTTCCTCCGACACTCCTTGCTTCCAGACTCCCCAGCAGTCTTGCTGCGCAAAGTCGCAAGAGAGCGCGGCAGCATTTTGCTGGGGGGCCCCTCCCCTTCAAGGGGGGCCCCCCAGCTCCTCTTGCTGCGCTCCCCTCCCTGCTGCTGCTCCCCGGCAGCAACCTCTGCTGCTGCTGCTGCTGCTGTTGCTGCTGCTGCTGCCGGTGAGTCTTCTGTGTCGTGGCAGACCGCTGGTGCTGCAGCAGCAGCAGCAGCAGCAGGGACGCCACTGCAGCAGCTGCTGGGTGCTGCTGGGCCCTGCGTAAAGGCGAAGGCCTCCATGCTTTCTTCAGCAGCAATTAAACTGGCACATGAAAAAGCTGAACTCTTTTTGGCGGTTTGCTGCTGTTTATAGGCCTCAGAAGCAGCAGCCATGCCGTGCGTTGCTGCTGCTGTTGCTGCTGCTGCAGGGTTTGGCATCCCTCCCCTTGCAGGGGCCTTATTGCAGCTACTGTTGCTGCTGCTGCTGCTGCAGTGGCTTGCTGCAACGTGTCCACGCCTGGGACAATCAGCAGCAGCAGCAGCAGCAGCAGCAGAAGAGCTGTTGGAAGCAATCTGGCTTTGGGCGCCTGCAGCGAATTGGGGTCGCTGCTGCAGCAAATCGACGAGGGGCCGCGGCACTGCAGCAGCAGCAGCAGCAGCGGTGGCTGCTGCAGGGCATTTGACAGCCATTTCTTCCTTGACGTCAAGCCCCACGAACTCTCTGCAAAGCTGAGAGCAGCAAACCGGGACAGTGGAGGGAGAGTACTAGTAGTAGTAGCAGCAGCAGCAGCAGCAGCAGCAGCAGCAGCGGCTTACCGCAACACAAGTGACAGCAGCAGCTTTTGGCATTTTGAAATACAAGTCTTGGCGGTCTTGCAAAGAAGTCGCGAAGACTCTTCGAGTTAAATGAACTCCCCCGCCTTCTGAGTAGCAAATGATTTGATAGGAAATCCTAGGTGCTGCTGCTGCTGCTGCTGCTGCTGCTGCTGCTGCTGCAGGCGGGGCCTCGCTGGGGGTCGCTCCCGGGGGCCCCCCTGCTTCATCTCTGCAGCAGAGGCAGCAGCATTGAGTGAATAAGAAAATGGAATTAAAGATAAACAAATAAATTAATTAAATTAAATTAAATTAAATTAAATTAAACTGATTATTTAGTTAATTTAATCTGAAATGGCCAACTTACTGCAGCGTAAACAGCAGCAAAGATATTCTGCCAATTTCCCCCTTTTGCTGCAGACTCAAAATGAGCCTCGGGAGAGCAGCACAAGTCCTTTGGAGTTGCTGCAGCAGCAAATGACAAATTCATTTTTGCATTTCAAATTCAATTAATGTGATCAATTTAATTAATTTAATTTATTCGATTCATTTAGTTTAATTAATTTAATTAAATTAGGAAGCCTACTAGGAGTGACTCCAGCCTTAAACCCCTCCCTTGACCAGCAGCAGCTGCTGCAGCAACTGCAGCAGCAACTGCTGCAGCAGGAGCAGCAGCAAATTCGTCCAAAGTGCAAATGTTGCTGGCGCGCAGCTGCGCAGACATCCGGTCGCCAATGCCTGCAGCAGGAAAATAAAAAAATAAATAAATAAATAAACAAATAAACTACTTAATTAATTAAACAAATAAATAATTAAATAAATTGAAAAGGGAATGAACGTGCAGCAGAAAGAAATCCTTCAATTCATTAAATGGGAAATTAATGCAGCGGTGTCTGCGTGCTGCTCGCTGCGTGTTGCTGCTGCTGCTGCTGCTTCCGGCGCTGCAGTCGCTGCTGCTGCGCTGCTGCTGCCGCCAGGTTGTTGGCAGCAATTATTTAATTTAATTTTAATTCTAACTTCAATTTCACTTTTAATTTTAATTTTAATTTTAATTTATTTAAATTAATTTAAAAAGATTTAATTATTCGAACTGACCCGGCAGCTGCGTCAGCTGCTCCGTGGCGTCCCAAGGAATTCGGGTTCGGAGGCTGCGGGAAAGCAGCTGCAGACTGCAGCAAATAATAAAATAAATCAATAAAGAAATAAATAATAAATAAATGAATAAACAAATAAATAAATAAATAAATAATAAACAATAAATTAATAAATAAATAAACAATAAAAGAATTAAAGTGCACAACTCACCAGCTGTAGATCTTCCCTTTCTGCTTCGCCAGCGCGCACTCCTGCATACACCGCGACAGCCGTTCTGGATAAATAAAAAGATAAATAAAAATAAATAAATGAAAATAAATAAATAAATAAGTAAATAAATAAATAGATAAATAAATAATAAATAAATAAATAAGTTGAATTAAATTAATTAAAATGAATCAGTTTAAAAAAGAAAAATAAAAATTCAAAAAGTGCATTTTTGCAACTTCACGCGCACCCCCGATCTTCGCAAAACTGAACTTCTGAGACTCCAGCTCCCACTGAAGACAAAAAATAGATAAATAAATAAATAAATAAATAAATAAATGAAATAATAAGTTTATTAATACTTAATTAATAATCAATTAATAGTTAACTAATTAATTAATCACTTGTTTGTTTTTATTCACTTTCTGCGCATGCGTTTTCAAACGACTCGACTTCAATTAAAACAATTAAAATCAAAACAAATTATTTAATTACCTGTTCCACTCGAAGGCCGCAAAGTGCTGCTTGCATTAAAACAAAAGATTTTTCTTTTGAAGTAATTCCGCTTTCTTTCAGCGCCCACTTCATCTTCGGGTGTCTAGACACCTCGCGCAACGGACGCTTCTGCTCCTGAATTAAAAGTTTTTATCCCTTTTGAACGGCTCGCTAGCTAGCTAGCTAGCCGGCTTAACAGCTAGCTCGCTAGCTAGCTAGCTAGCTGGCTTAACAGCTAGCTCGCTAGCTAGCTAGCTAGCTGGCTTAACAGCTGGCTCGCTAGCTAGCTAGCTAGCTGGCTAGCTAGCTAGCTAGCTGTTTTGAGCTAGGTGAACAGCTGGCTGAATAAGTGGCTAGCTAGCTAGAGAGCTAGCTGGCTGGCTAGCTAGCTAGCTAGCTAGCTAGCTAGCTAGCCAGCTAGCTGGGGAAGTGGCGGTGGGCTGCTTTCTTTCCGCCATATTCCCACTTTATTGAATTGAATTAATTGGCTAATTAATTAGTTAATCAATTAAATTAAATCAAATAAAAAATTAATTTAATTATTTAATTTAATCAAATTAATTAATTATTTGTTACCCGTTTGGGAGGAAGCTCTTTGAATTCTGCTGCTGCTGCCAGCAGCTCCAGAAGGGCTCTGAGGAGATCTTGAGTTTCCATTTTTTCCAGAGAGTCCAGATCTGCATTTGATTTGAATTCACTTTGCTGCTGCAGCAGCAGCAGCAGCAGCAGCTGCAGCAGCAGCAGGAGCAGGGGTTGAGGACGGACCCGCAGCCAAGAATGAAATCATAGTCTCCAGCTTCGTGCTGCAGCGCGCCATTGCTGCTCCTGCTGCGCTGCAGCACAGCTGCTGCGAGCTGCTCAGCAGCAGCAGCCCCAGCGAAACTGCAGCAGCAAAAAGCAAAAAAGGTTTGTATTCAAAGACAACAGAAGCTTTTATTAGATTTAATAATTCAAAAGACTAATTCAACTAACAACTAATTCGAATTAACTAGAACATGGGCAGCAGCTGCGGAGGAGGCGGCGGGATTTTGTGCAGTTTACAGCCTAGGGTTTAGGGTTTAGGGTTTAGGGTTTGCTGCTGTGGTGGCTGCCGCTGCTGCCCGTCCGCCAGGGGAGACTAGAAGAGGTTTACCTAATTTGTCGAGTTCCTGTTTGATGTACTGGTGTGCAGCGTGTGTGGCTGCTGCTGCTGCTGCTGCTGCTGCTGCTTGGTTTGCTGCTGCTGCTGCTGCTGCTGCGCGCGTCTGAACCCCCCAGAAGGTGGCGTCGAACCAGTCCGTGGCCTCCTGCAGACTTCCCACAGTTCCGAGAAAGACTTCGGCATTTAAATGTTCAATAAATTCGAATTTCAACTTGGAATTGACTGTCTGTACACCCGAAGACAGCTGCCTCCACCGCCCGCAGCTCTCTTCGCTCGTCATGATCACCGCGACTCCGCAGGAGTCGAACTGGGGTCTTCCGGCTCTTCCTGCGGAAAAAAAGAAAATAAAAAGAATTAAAAGTTCAAAATATTCTTTTTTATCCTTTTAAAGCTCATTTTAACTTTAGTTTCCACTTCAAACCGCGCAGTCGCCCACCGATCATCTGCAGCATTTCAATGTCGTCGTATTCCCTGTAGACGCCTTCTTTGTAGGCGAAGGTGCTCTTGATTATGCAAAGTCTGCAAACAAAGCAAAATCAAAAGTTTGAACAAATAAATAAATAAATAAATAAGTAAATGAATAAATAAATTCATTTCATTTTTGTTTTCGTCTTTTGCTGGTTTTAAGCTGCGGATTCTCTCTGCAACTGCTCGTTCAAATAAATAGGAAATAACTCCTGCGGCTGTTCAGCTGCTGTTTCAGCTTCATTTAATTGTTTTCATTTATTGTTATTTATTTGTTTATTTCTTTTTATTTATTTATTGTTTAATTTTCATTTCCAGTTTTGCTTCCTCTGCTGCTCACCTCGCCGGCAGATTGACTCCCTGGGCCAGAGTGCTGGTGGTGCAGAGCACTCGAACGTTTTCCTGCGAAGTGCAGCAAAGATGAAAAAATGAATTAAATAAATAATTAAATAAAGAACTAAATAAAATATTAGAATAATAAAGCTTTAATTGACAAATATAGCCCCAGCAGCAGCAGCAGCAGCAGCAGCAAACCTGCAAGAACTGGCTCTCCACTGCTGCTCGCTGCTGCTGCTGCAGCGCCGAGTGGTGCACACAAATTCCTCTTCGAATATATTTCGCATATTTGGAGTCCATTATTTTCGCCAGCTTCTCCAGCTCTCTGCAGCAAAAAAGCCATTCATTAAAAATATAAAATTCTTACTCAAATATTCTCTTATTTCAATACTTCATGGACATCTTATCCAAATGCATGCAAAGATGATCCTATATCCCACATACACAGCAGCAACAGCACAATCCCCAGCAGCAGCAGCAGCAGCAACAGCAACAGCAGCAGCAACAGCAACAGCAGCAGCACCATCCTCATTATCGTCACCATCACGATCACCATCATCATCATCACCATCACCATCACCACCATGACCATCACCATCACCACCATCACACAATCAGCAGCGCCAGCAGCAGCAGCAGCAGCAGCAGCAGCAGCAGCAGCAGGCTCACTGCTGCTGCTTGCTGCTGCTGACCAGCAGCAGCCCCGCCTGCGCGAGGGCCTCGCAGGCATTTTCGCAGCCCTTTTTGGTGACGCAGAAAACGAGGGCGGGGCGGCCCTGGCTGTGGGCCTTGAGGACTTCGGGGACTTTCTTGTCCAGACTGCGTTCAAACTGTTCCAAAACTGCCAATTAAACCCTTTTTCCGCAGCCTCGGGGGCCCCCGGGGGCCCCGGGGGCCCCCGGGGCCCCGGGGGGCCCCTTAGGGAAAAAGACCCACCAAAAATCCGTTCATGGGGCCCCGGTAAAAGCCCAGCACTTCACACTGCAGCTCCACCGGCCGGTAGCTGCTGCTGAAGCTGCAGCAGCAGCCGCACAGCCACTCCGACAGCTGCTGCACATTCCCCACAGTGGCAGACACTGCAACAAATCGAGGGGGGCCCCCCGGGGGGCCCCCCCGGGGGCCCCCCGGGGGGCCCCTTGTGGAGCTGCGGTGCAGCAGCAGCAGCCTCGCGACCACGGCTTCCTGAATCGGCAAAGCAATTGGTGAGCTTAGCATGCAGCAGCAGCAGCAGCAGCAGCAGCAGCAGCAGAGGATGAGGGCAGCTTTTGCTTGATCCCGCTGCTGCAGCTGGGAGCAGCAGCAGCAGCAAGAGGCCTTAGGGTTTAGGGTTTAGGGTTTAGGGTTTAGGGTTTAGGGTTTGGGCGCACGAGCACAGGGCCGCGGCGGGGCATGTTAAGCAAATGGACTTCGTCGATGCAAACGAGTCCGAGAGAAGCAGCAAAAGGTTCTTCAGAGAGCAGCAGGCGGGAGACAGAGTCGAGCTTTTCTGCTGCAGCAACACTATTTGCTGCTGCTGCTGCTGCTGCTGCTGCTGCACTCACGGGTGGCCACAATGATGTCTGCAGCGGCTAGCGCGCGCGGCAGCGCCTGCGGGGACTCCAGAGTGTCGGCGGTGAGCCTGGGAAGCAAAGTTGAGTTCATCTGCTGCTGCTGCTGCTGCGGCAGCAGCAGCAGAGTTGAATGCAGCTGCTGCTGCGCTGCAGCAGCAAACGAGGAGACCCACTCGAAGCAAAACATGCCCAGAGGCCCCAGACGATCGGACCATTCTCGAGCTCTGAAAACCCGCACAATCAGCCACAGCCAAAAGCACATTATTGAATAGTTGCATGCATGCATGCATGCATGCATGCCTGCATGCATGCAGCAATTGAATTATTGAATTGCTTCAAGACTGCGGATTAGGCCCACCTTTCTGCACAGAGGGCCTTCGTGGGGCACAGGCAAATGACTCTTTGCTTCTCGCTGCGCTCTTGGGCGCTGCGGCGCTCCAGCAGGCGCAGGATCGCGAGCTCGAAGAGGACCTGTCGGGGCGGCGCACTGGGCTGGAGTGGAAGGCGAAAATAAATTCCACTTACGGTTTTTCCGGACCCCGTGGGGGCTGAAATTACGTAATTTGTGTCGGAATTGTAAAGCGCGTCGAAGCAGGCGCTCTGCATGGCGTTGAAATGCTCAAATCGGAACGCTTTCCGGTGTTCCGGGTCGCGGATCGCGTCGCGTGACACCGCCTTCGTCGGGCGGTGATCCGCCGTAAATGTTTGCATTTTCGCGCCAAAAAGGAAAAGAATAAATCAAATAAATAATATGAATCGATATTATGATTTGTGGCCTCGTTCGGACTTCCAAAGTGACAGGATCACGCGGCGCGCCTCGCCAGAGCTGCGCATACACCCCAGCGCCGCGGCATTGCAACTTCCAAAAGGAAGAGCGCAGGCGTTCAGATATTCTTTTTTGAAGAACACACTGCGATCTCAAGTCCTTTCAAGTAATCACACAAAACTAAATGATAAATGAGGCTTTTAGAGGAAGGGAATACATCATGCATCTTTTGCAGATTCCACGCTGGCGCAGCAGAGCAGCACAGAAACGGCCGCGAGCCAACGAACGGGCGAGGGAAACGGGGATTTAAGTGCACAAAAAGGGAAATAAAATTCAATTATTTTGGATTTGTGCATTTTTTGAAAAGAATAAAACTAAGACAGAGTCAGCTGCGAAGTTTTCGTGCTTTTCGGGAGCGCCACCGGTCGAGTCTCACTTGCAATTCAAGAACTCGTCGCCGCACCAGTGGTTCAAGTCCTGGCTCGTCTTTCTCGCGGATGAATTCTTCTATTTTCACTTTTAATTGAATTAATTTACTGTTTAATTTTAATTCAAAAAATAAAAACGCAAATTCAGACGAACTCCCGCGAACTGCCTCCAAGTCTCTCGTCGGCACCGGCTGCAGCCAGCTGCAGCCCCCGCCTCCGCCCCCGGGGGTGAGTTTTTGAATTTAATTTTAATAACAATTAAAACGAAATTCAAAAATTAAGTTTTTAATTTAAAATAAATCAAATTTAAATCTGACTCTCCAGCTCGGCGGCTGCGCAGCTGGGGGCCACCGCCGCCGTGTGGGGCCCTAGCAGCAGACTTGCATGCGTTTGCTGCTGCTGTCTTGGCTTGTCTTCGGAATTATCTTTTTTTAATTTTAGTTAATTTCTTTTTTATTTCATTTTCTAATTCTGCAAGACTTCAGTCTCTTCCTTCCGCTGCAGCTGCAGCAGCAGACCAACTCCACGAGCAGCAGCAGCAGCAGCAGCAGCATCAGCAGCTCTTCGCCTCTTTTACTTTTCTCGAAATTAAATTAAATCCATAAATCAAAAAAATCTTCTTAATAAACAAAAAAGGTCCAATGCCCTGGCTGCGCCGTGCTGCTGAGGAGCAGCAGCAAACGAAAAGGGCAGGAGACAGCAGCAGCGGCAGCAGCAGCAGCAGCAGCAGAACGACAAACAGGGGCTGCTAAGCAGCAGCAGCAAAGACCACGCGCAGGAAAGAGCAGCAGCTACAGCAGCAGGAGCGGGAGAGACAAATACAGCAGCAGCAGCAGTAACACCATCAGAAAACAGCAACTGTTGAGTGCAGCAGCAGAGACAGAGGAGGAGGTGCAGCAGCAGCAGCAGCGGCAGCAGCAGCAGCTTCGCCGAAGACAGAGCAGCAGCAGCAGCAGCTCCTGCAGCGACAGGAAGCGCAGCATCAGCGGCAGCAGCAGCAGCAGCAGCGTTTGCAATGGAGCAGACAGCTGTGCCCCCCGCTGCTGCTGCTGCTGCTGCTGCTGCTGCTGCTGCAGCCCCGAAGCCGCGGTTCTGCACAGGGCGCTGCACCACTTCTTGTCTTGTTTATTTATTTATTTATTTTATTTCAATTTATTTTTGCTGCTGCCTTTCTCTCAAAGTTCCTGCTGCGCTGCTGCCAGCAGCAGCAGCACTCCCGAACCTCGTGGCCCTCGCCATTCTCTACAAGGTACCCCCAAACCCTAAACCCTAAACCCTAAACCCTAAACCCTAAACCCTCGTCGATGTGGCGGCTGTGTTGCTGCTGCTGCGGCTTGCAGGTCTTTGGAAAGGGCTCGACGCTGAAGCAGGTGAAGTGAACAAAATGGTTTTGATAATTTAATTAATTAAATAAATTAATATGTTTAATTAGATTAAGTTATTTAATTAAATTAAATTATTTAATTAAATTAATTAAGTTAATTGTTTTAATTGTTTTGCTCTTCTGCAGAGCCTCCTTGTTGTCCTTTCGGCGCTCTGCGTGATAATCCCCTTTTTGCTGCTGCTGCCGCTGCTGCGGCAGGGCTGGCTGCTAGTGGTGAGCCTGCTGGACGTTGCTGCTGCTGCTGCTGCTTCTGCTGCAGCAGCAGCAACAGCGCCAGCAGCAGCAGCAGGAGTCCTCAGCCTCGTGAGGCCCGGCTTCCTCCTCTGGGCCCTGCTGGACTCCCTGCTGCTGACAGCTTTGCTGCAGGAGCTTTTCAAATTTGCTGCTGCTTTCCAGCTGCGGCACAAGGTGTACGTACACCCTAGCAGCCTGCTGCTCTTCTACACCGCACTCGCCGCCAACACCTTTTCCCTCGTGAGCTGCAGCCAATTGTTTTATTTATTTATTTATTATTTATTTTTATTGTTTATTTTTATTTATTTATTTTTATTCACTTAAATCGAAGTTTTACTCCCCAATGTCCGTTCTCCACAAGCCCCGGCACTGAGTGCTCTCGGCTGCGAGCCCTTGTCGTCTTTTCTTTCTTTTTATTTTTATTTTTGTTTCAATAAAAAGTGAATTAAATTGTTTACTACTTTGTTTCTTTCTTTTCTGTTTTTATTCTTGTTTTTATTTCAACAAAAAATGAATTTGGCGGCCCTCGCGTTTTCGTTTCTGAGGTGTATGTACAGCTGCGCGCGTCAGCTGTCTGCATGCCTTCAAATCCGCTGTCGGCGATCTCGTCGAATTGGCGCATTTGGTTCATTTAATTCATTCATTTAATTTGTTTTTATTAGTTTTAATTCATTTGTTTCTTAATTATTTAATTCAGTTCTTTTTCGCAGGCAACTGGCACACATGATGCTTTCCGCCTCGCCGGCCAACTCGCCGGGGGGCCCCCTGGGGGCCCCCCGGGGGGCCCCCAGGGGGGCCCCCAGGGGGCCCCCCAGGAGGCGCAGCGGCTGGGGGCCCTTTGGTCCTTTTGTGTCTTTCACGGAGGGTACGAGTTGCCCAGCCAAATACTCACTGCAGCACTGATTGCATGCAATGTAAGCAGCAGCAGCAGCAGCAGCAGCAGCAGCAAGACCGGAGGAAGCAGCTTTATTCAGGTGAGAGCCGCCAGGTGTACGTACACCGCACAGCAGCAGCGTTTGTTCCCGTCAGATAAAGTAATTTAAAAGTATTTAAATTAGAAACTTTATAATAATATGGCCTTTTATTTAATTCTGCATGAAGCCTTGCATGCATTTTTGTTTCTTTTTTATTTCATTTTTACTTCATTTTTTATTTTCAGTTTGTGCTGCTCAAGTGTATGTACACACATGCGCCCATTGATTCGCGCCCGCATTTCACCAAAGAATAAATCCTTTTGAACTTGCTGCTAGCAGCAGCAGCAGCAGCAGCAGCTGCTGCTGCTGCTGCTGCAGCAGTCGCTGCGGCTGCTGCGTGTGCATTATCTGTCTTTATAAGTATAAATAACATTAAATATGCATTTAAATAATATTAATTATCTCTCTTATAAAATACTCTGTTACATAAATAATTAAATATATTTTGATTTAGTTTTTGTGATATTTATTTCTAGGCGGAGCTGCTGCTGCTGCGGCAGGCTCCGTGTAAACCAAGGGTTTAGGGTTTAGGGTTTAGGGTTTAGCTTTGCGCTTGTCTCTTCAGATCATCCAAGGCCCAGTTCTGCTGCATGCAATTCCCGCATTTTGTACACAACTCGCCCGGCGTAAGCTTTCCAGCTGCTGCTGCTGCTGCTGCTGCTACTGTTTTTGCTTCTGCTGCTGCTGCTGCTGCAGCTGTTGCTGCTACGTTTGCTGTGACTGGTGCGGCTGCTGCTGCGGGTAGCGTTTCTGAAGCTACGGGCTGCATGCCTGCTGCTGCTATTGCTGCTTCTGCTATTGCTGTTGCAGCTGCTGCTGCTGCTATTGCTGCTGCTATTGCTGTTGCTGCTGCTGCTATTATTGTTGCTGCTGCTGCCACTGCTGTTGCTGCTGCTGCTGTGTTTGCTGCTGCAGACATCAGCCAAAACGTGGCAATGAGGTTTCTGTGGGGCCGCCCGGCGGAAGCCGTTGCTGCTGCTGCTCTGCGGACTGTAGCAGCAACAGCAGCACTTTGTCACTTTTTTTCAATTATGGTGATGATCGTCAGTCTTCTAATTGCTGCTGTTGCATGCAGGTGAGTTCGGGGCAAATGTGCGGCCTCTCGGCCTTTAAAATGCTGCCAATTAGGGTTTAGGGTTTAGGGTTTAGGGTTTGGGGTTCTGGGAGGCGCTCGGCCCCGCGGAAGTTAGGCTTTTGAGTCGTCGCCATTTGCTGGTGCTGCTGCTGCTGCTGCTGTTGCTGCGCTGGACTGCAGAAAGGCTTATCTTCGTGCTGCAGTAGCAGCAGCAGCAGCAGCAGGTCCGGCCAGCCCTGTGGGGGCGCCGCGGCTGCTGTTCAGTTTGAAGGATCTGTTTGGCCAGGAGGAAGGTGAGGTGGAAAGCGTGTTTGAAATAGCGCTGCGATTTTGCGATTTGAAAGAAATAAAGACCAAATAAAGAGAAAATAAGAAGAAAATAAACGAAATGAATGAATTAAATGCAAATATTTGCTGCTGATTGCCAATTATTTGCAGAAACGGAAGAAAGTGCTGCGCTGCTGCCGAAGGAAGCTGCGGATCTGGCGTGAGCGCTGGGGTGTATAGGCAGCTCGGCGCGCAGCCGCTGCTGCAGCTGCTGCTGCAGCTTTCCTCGCTGCTGCCACTTCAATCAATTTGGTGAATTTCTTTGTCGTTTTTGGTTTAAATGAACGCAAAAGTGCTTTTAGTGTTGCTTTTGGGGGCTCTGCGGACTTGGGAGCCGGCTGCGGGCGCGCCGCTGCCCTTCCCACGTAAGTGCAGCCCCAAGTTGAACTGCCGCCGATCTTCGCCAAAACTGCGTTTAAATGGTTCTTTTTTATCGCAAAGTTGTCCGCGAACTTGAACTGCGTCTGGACAAGCAGTATGGAGGTGAAAGATTGAAAACTTGTTCAGCTTTCCCCGAATTCAACTTCGCGCTTTCCGAGCAGCTGCCGCCGTTTCCGCCCTCAGGTACACGCCGCTCTGCCTCTTCTTCTCAATTTCCCCTTTCAATTCACTTTTATTTCCCTTTTTATTCTTTTTGACGCAAAATTTAAAGAAAAATGCTGAAGGACTTTGGCCACGCGTAGGCGAGCTTGCCCGTTTGCTGCACTGCTGCTGCCGACGCGCCGCAGCCCCGCAGACCTCCCCGCCGCGGACGAGGCGTTTATTAAGGTAAATGGGCGCGAAAAGATGAAAGAAATCGGAAAACGAAAAACAAAATTAAAAATAATTTTGGGCGTTTTAAAATTCAAATTGCAACTCTTTTCAAACGCAAACGACCCAACTCAGGAAACGCTCACCGCCCACTTCGGGCCTGCGGTGTACGCGGAGTACCAGAGGATCGGCCGCGAGCAGGTATGCACTTTTCTTGAATTTGGACTTAATTGAACGCCATTTGTATTAAATTTGAATTTTAATTCAAAGTTTATTTATTTGCAATTCATTGAACTTTGTTTGAAGTGAAATTACTCAAAAAGACTCCAATTCAAATTCCCAACCTCAGCAGACACCCGAAGACCCCCAGACCCAGCTGGTCCGAAACGTCGTCAAGCTAATCAAGCAGCAGTTCCACAGGGTAAATACACTCCAAAGGAAAAATTGAATTTATTTGTTTCATTTACTTCATTTTAAAAATTAAAACAAATAAACAATTCCAAAATAAATACAACAAGCCACTCCGCGCGCATGCAGCGCCTGTCTCCTCCTGAGCTGCTGGTCCTTCCTGCAGATCCGCTTGCCTTTCGCGTGTTTCAGAGGGTCTTGTGCGCATTTAATCCATTTAAATCGTTCTATTTCATTTTATTTTATTTTATTTTATTTTATTTCTTAAAAATCATTAAATTTAATTCATTTCCATTTCAATCTGCCAGCTGGCGGAAGTTTGCGACACGGACGTGAAGCCCCAGTGGTCACACTTCCTAGCTGTGGCGGCGCTTTCGAAGCAAATGAAGGTACCTGAAACATTTTGAATTCATTTTCAAGTTATACTTTTAAAATTCAATTTCAAATATTAATTATTTGAATTCCATCTTTTTGAATTTCATTTTTTTGAATTTTCGACTTGAATTCACCGGGTGTACAGACAGGCGAAGGTGCAGCGCCTGTCGGAGGCTTCTCCTGCAGAACAAGTCGAAGATCTCCATTGAAATAGATTTTAAATGATTTAATTTTAATTAAAATATATTTAAAATAAATAAAAATTCATTTTAATTCTTTTTATTTCGCGTTTCTTCTTTTCTTTGACTCAGACGTCCCCTGCAAAGATGAACAGTCGTGCAAGAAGCTGGAGGTGGGCGCGGCGGAAAGCTGCGAAAATGAAGCAAAATAAATGAATTAAAATGAAAATAAAACAAAATAAATGAATAAAACTGAAAATTAAATCAAATAAATGAATTAAAATCCAAATAATTCGCATTTAATCAAAAAAATGAATTATTCAACTTTTTTCCGGTGTCTCAGCACCTCGTCAACCGCTGCAACTATGCGAGGTGAGCAAATTAAAAGCTTTCCTTTAATTGTTTCATTTAAAATTTTCTGTTATTTCATTTATTTAATTCATTTAATTTATTTAATTACTTTAATTCATTTATTTTATTTCTTTCCAATTCACAATCCAACACTCCATTTGCTGCTGCCTTCTCACCAAACCCTAAACCCTAAACCCCAAACCCTAAACCCTACACCCCGAACCCCGAATCCCAAAGTGCAAGCCCTTGACGCTGAACACTAAGCCCTGAGCAGCAAACCCTAAACCCTAAACCCTAAACCCTAATTGGGTGAGCCTGTTGCAACGCTTGAAAATATTGTTGCTGCTGCAGTGTGGGAGGTGGTGAAGGCGACCAGCAACATGTGCAGGTCTGTTCCATTCAAACCCTAAACCCTAAACCCTAAACCCTAAACCCTAAACCCTCACCGCCCCCAGAATTTACGGCGACCCTGGACTCGGAAGCATTGTGAAGTAGCTGCTCCATTAGCAGCCAACCAGTCGCCTCTGGCCACCTAGCTAGCTGGCTAGCTAGCTAGCTAACTAGCTAGCTAGCTGGCTAGCTAGCTGGCTAGCTAGCTAGCTAGCTAGCTGGTTCGCTAGCTGGGCCAGTGCAGCGAAGGGAAAAACACTTCTTTCCCTGCTGCTTTCAAACTCGCTCGCGATCTCAGCAGCTAGCTAGCCAATAACTAACTAGCTAGCTGGCTAGCTAGCTAGCTAGCTAGCTAGCTAGCTAGCTAGCTAGCTCGCCAGTTAGTTATTAGCTAGCTATCTAGCCAGCTGGCTAGATAGCTAGCAAGCTAGCTGTTTAGCTAGCTAACTGGCTAGCTAGCTAGCTAGCCAGCTAGCTAGCTAACTAGCTAGCTAGCTAGCTAGCTGCTGCCTGCGCGGCCAGCCTTCAAGTGTGTTCGGGCGTTTCAAATCGTGCCCGTGGAACAAACCCTAAACCCTAAACCCTAAACCCTAAACCCTAAACCCTAGCGGCCGAAGGCGAAAGTCATCTCCTCGACCTCCACGGCCAACTGGCCGTCTACAAACCCTCGGCCTTTGAATTTGGCAATTCCGAACTTTTCTTTCCAAGTCACAAGTTCGGCCTCCATCACCAGCGAGTCTCCTACAAATAAATAAACAAATAAACAAATAAATAAATAAATAAATATAAATAAATAGAAATAACTAATTAATTAATTAATTATATGAGTTAAATTTGTCGGGGAGAGAGCGCCAGGTTGTAGGGAGCGAGGAGACGCTCGCAGCAGCTGGAAACGAGGGTTTAGGGTTTAGGGTTTAGGGTTTGTGGCCGCGAAGGGTGTTACGGAAAGTGGAAGAGACAAATTGAAAGGATTAAATTTAAATTGTGGAATCTTTAAGGTGAAATTAAATTAAAAATTAAAATTAAAAAGCTTGATTGCGAGTGCAGCACAGAAACGCCAGAAACAAAAGCAGCCACTTCTGTCCTAAACCCTAAACCCTAAACCCTAAACCCTAAACCCTAAACCCTAAACCCTGGACGGTAAACCCCAAAGAACGATCCGAAAGAATAAACCCCAAAGCCTAGCGTCAAACCCCGAACCCCCTCCCGATCCCTATCGCCTATGCGTATCCCCCAAACCCCAAACCCAAACCCTAAACCCTAAACCCTAATTTAGGGTTTACCCGGCAGCACGGGTTTCTTCCACTTCACGCCGTTGGCCCCCGCGAAGAAGAAAATGCCTTTTCCGTCTGAGAGCGGCGGCTGCAGAGCGACGACGCCGGCGAGTTGGGCGAGGGCCTCGACCTGTACGTACACCCGAGAAAACGAGAACTGCGATATCAAAGAACTGCAGAATTAAAAGAAATAACTGAAGAATTAAAAGAAACAACTGAAGAATTAAAAGAATTATATGAATTAAATGAACTCATAAACGAATTAGAAGAATTAATGAAAGAATTGAAAGAATTGAAAGTTTTTCAAAATGTTTTTTGAATTTTTGCTGCAAAAGACAGCCGAGCTCTCTGGCGGAGCTGTCGATACACCCCAGGGGGTGAAGTGGTTTGAATCGAAAACGAAAAAAAGAAAAGAGAATTAAAAAGAATAAAAAGAATTAAACAGAATCAAAGGGAATTAAAAAGTGTAAAAAAGGATTAAAAAGAATAAAAAAGAATTGAAAAGAACATACGAGCCTTTGAGTTCAAACAAAGAACAAAAAGAAGGAACGGGAGGTGCCTATACACCCCGGGCCAAGAACTCGGGTGTCTGTACACCGCGCACCTGCAGCACCCCCGGCATGACGGCGCGTTCTGGAAAGTGTCCATTAAATTGGTTTTCATTATTCGAAATGTTTTTAACTCCAACAGCTCTTTTTCCAGCTTCAAAAAACACTACTTTGTCCACCAACAAAAAGGGATATCTGTGCGGCAAGATCTGCTTGATCTGCTCCGCCGTGAACGCCGGTGTACGTACACTCGAAGTCAAAGAAGACACCCACGACGCGTCCCGGTAGCTGCTGCTGCTGCTGCTGCTGCTGCCGCTGCTGCTGCCGCTGCTGCTGCTGGGGGCTGCGGCCGGGGCGGGGGAGTCGGCTGCTGCCAGCGGGGAGGAGGCGCGTGCAGCAGCAGCGGGGCCTGCTGCTGCTGCTGCTGCTGCTGCGGGAGTCGCCGGCGCACCCAACGGGCTTGCTGCTGCTGCTGCTGCTGCTGCTGCTCCCGGCTGAAGGGAAGAAGGGCTTCTGATTGTAAAGGCTAAAGAACAAAGGGGAAGATAAAACAGGCAAAGACAGAGACAAACGCAGCAACGAGGCCAGGCCATCATCTTCGCTGCTGCTGCGCTGCTGCTGCTGCTGCTGCTGTTGCTGTTGCTGCTGCTGCTGCTGCTGAGGCAGGGGAAACCCGGCAGCAAACCCTAAACACTCTAAAAACAATTTAAATCCTGAAAAATAAATTTGCTGCTGCTGCTGCTGCTGCGCCGGCCGAGACAGGGGGGCAGTCGGCTGCTGCCTAGTCGAGTCGGGGGTTGGGGCTTTGCTGCCGATTGCATGCGCAGCAGCAGCAGCAGCAGCGGCAGCAGCAGCTGCTGCTGCTGCTGTCGCTGCAGCAACGGCGCTCTCTGAAAAGCGTCCAGAGAAAAAAAATCAACATTTAAACCTAAACCCCAAACCCTAAACCCTAAACCCTAAACCCTAAACCCTGGGCCCTGAATGGCTTGCGCTTCTTAGGGGCAAGCCGCCGCTGATCGCAGCGCCTGAGAAGCCCTGAACCCTAAACCCTAAACCCTAAACCCTAAACCCTCAAGGGAACGCGTGGTCTTCCAGATCAGGCCCCGTCTGCTGCTGCAGCTGCAGCAAAATGTGGAGCCACGGGGGAGGGCACCCGCAGCAGTACCAGCAGCAGCAGCAGCAGCAGCAGCACCAAATGCAGCAGTACATGCAGCAGCAAATGGGGGGCTACGGCTCTGCTGGCTTCGACGCTGCGCAGCAGCAGCAGATGCACCACCACATGATGCTGCAGCAGCAGCACTACATGCAGCAGCAGCAGCAGCAGTACATGCAGCAGCAGCAGCAGCACACCCCCGGGGCCTACTCCTACCAGCAGCAGCAAATGTATCCCCACAGCTACGGCTTTTCTTCCCCTGCTTCTGCTTCTTCCTACGGCTCGCCTGCTGGTGCTGCTGCTGCTGCTGCAGCAGGAGGCAGCTCAGCAGCAGCAGGGGGAGCAGCAGCAGCAGCAGCAGCAGCAGCAAGCCCCTATGGCCAAACCACCCCACAAGTCTCTCCTTATGGAGCAGCACTAGGCAGCAGACAAGCTGTGCCCCCACCTGCAGACCCTGAGCTCGCCAAGAGGATCCGCACCATGGCAGGTTAGGGTTTAGGGTTTAGGGTTTA